CTCCTGTCCCAACAGAACCACAGGCAGTTGTAAGTCCGCCTACTCAATACACCAGAAATGATTACAAATAGTGTTATAAAGTGTACTCAAATGCTCATCTTCACAGGATGATGGGGATGAAGAAACAGTTTCTGCTGCCACAGAGATGCCTACAGAGGTAATGTTAATATTATGTGTCTATCAAACAATCTACACATTCACATTTCTTCACCTTTTTTATGTGGAGTAGCCTATAGAATCTAAGTTTAAATCTAAGTATAAACAGGTATTTGTATCTCTCCCCAGAGTGTGGAAGAACAGCAAGAGGATGGTCCATCAACTTCTGGTGCACAGATGAACACAGTTCAGTGATTTTTTTTTTTCAGTAAATGCCACAGTTTAATATTGTAGAATTTTAGAACTACATGATGTAACTGTAATCTACTGTATTTTCAGTTGCCAGTTAAGGAGTTATATAGACTTCTTCTTATTAAAAAGATAGAAAAAAACAGCAAAGAACTTGTATACTTGGACCGCCAGATCCAAAAGGCAGATCTGGAAATTGAGATTCTGAAACTAAAGCTAGAGGTGAGTGCATGGTCACAGGTGAATTCTAAGTATTGAAAATATATTAAATTCTATTTTTTTTTTTTTATGTTTAGGAAATAAAGAACACCATATAAATTGCTGTGATTTTGTGTTTATTCATTTTTATTTTATTTTGTGGTTGGTTGGTTGTGGTGGTGGATATAATGTGTATTAATCTGTGAAGACATTTCGGCATATCATATCCCGGACTACCCTTCCCTCCTGGAAATCTGCCGGGTTGATGGGGTCTTCCTCTGGGTCTTGTATTTGTAGGGCAGGGTGTTGCTCCCCTCTAATTATGGCAATATTATGGAGAACAACACATGCCACAATAATGTCGCAGGCCCTTTCAGGGGTTACCCTGAGGTGACGTAGGCACTGGAAACGTGCTTTCAACAGGCCTATGGTCATCTCCACCCGGGCTCTCGTCCTGCAGTGTGCCACATTGAAGCGGCGCTGGGGGCCTGGTTCAGGTTCTCGGTAAGGGGTAATTAGTGTTGGTCGGCATGGGTAACCCCTATCTCCCAGCAGAAAGCCATCAATCTCTCCTGTAAGAAAGTTCACATTGCTTTAGAGCTGCATAGAAGTTCCCCAGTAAGTGTGTAGTGCATACATTGAAATACATGCATTTACTTACCAGTTTCCAGTCTGTTGCTCAGCGGACTCACGATATTGTCATCTGAGTCATGAACAGAACCGGGCCACTTGGGCTCCACATTTGTAATGAGATGTGCAGCATCACATATGATCTTGACAATGCAAAGAATGAGACATGTTATAGTATTGTGATGTAGTCTTTGACCATTAGAAACAGTAGGCTTTCAGTGTACCTGCACATTAATACTGTGGATGGACCTCCTGTTGACATAGTCCGCTTCATTTTCGGAAGGTGCAATGATGGGAATATGTGTGCCATCAATGCATCCAACCACATTCGGAAATCCTAAAAGGAATTCTATTATTAGTTTACTTCCAGGGGTCGCAGCAATATGCTCTTAACTGAACGTCATTATCAGGTTAGCCTCATTTAAACCGATGTATACATCACTGACCTGCAATCCTGTGAAACTCCTCTTTGATGGCTCTCACGGGTTTGTGCCCAGGAAACAGCACAAAAATTCGGAGAAAGTGCCTAAGAGCGAGGCACACTTTGCTTACACCTCTGCAAACAGTAGCCTTACTCATATGGTCTGCATCCCCAATGTTATACAAAATCCTCTCCCGACGTAAATGCAACTCCCTACGGATTAATGCAGCCTCTTCATCCACAGGATCGTCCATAAAAGGACATGCCATTTCATTCACTTGATTTGATGCGCTCTGCGTGACTGAAATGTGCGCAATGAATGAATACCGAAAGAATGAATGAGGTGATTAAATACCACTTCCTCTTTAAAAAAGGGGAGGAGACGAAATAAACTCTGGGTTTCCCGAAGAAAACCTGCTCCCGACCAGGTTAGGTTCACAGAGTAAGTTGCCATGGTAACTGACTCGGAGTATAAGTTACCTCTCTTTCTGAAACAGGCTTGACTTACTCTGCTTTCTCAGGTTTAACATACCTCCCATTCTGAAACAGAAAACTCAGAGTTTCCCTCATTTCAGGGTTAACATACTCAGAGTTTTCACTTAACCTCCTTTCTGAAACAGGCCCCTGGTGTTGTCTCTCTCTGGTGGGAGTTTGAAGGAAGGAAAGTAACAAATAGTCCCGCATGTCTCCACTAGAGGACAGTGTGTGTCCACGCAGCTGCAGCGAGGTGTTTACCTGTAAGAGTTGTTTCATTCTGACACAGTGAACAGAAATATAGCGACTGAGCTTCATGGAATTCCTGTTTTTGCCCGTAAGACCTTTTGGGGACATTGAGTTGTAGGAATTAAGGGTCCATAAAAGTGTAAAGACGGGAGCTCGAGGCGTCAGGGGCCCGTTGGTCTCTAGTCCAGATTTTTACTACACTGCTTTACACACGTGGATGAAAGTCAAGACAACAACTTACATACAACCAACAAACACTCAATTTTACTCAAGTGGCTTTTTTTTATCTAACAGCATCCGCCACCAACCTGCTTCTGAGGTTCAATGGAGACCGAAGCAGAAGGTTGTGACGGGTAGTGTTGGGTCTGAGAACAGGTGCCATATTGGTACCGGTTCCTATACGACCGGTCCGCCCCCCCAAAGTATTAAACCGAGGTTGTAGCGTTGTTCCTTCCGTGTGGATTGGCATTAAACTGCGTTGAGCTGCAGACACGTGACTTCATTTCCTTATGAATGACAGGAGGTCGTTTGATTTTTTTCGTCTTTATGTTACGGAGCAAAGCGTTAACTAAATATATAATCAATAAATTCAGTCACACGGTAGAAAAACGATAAGCTCTCGTGCTTAATGCAGCTCTGTGTTGCACCTGCTGCAATAATGACGTCAACACATCGAGACAAACAAGAGGCTTCAATATAACATAAATGCTTTTCAATATATGTTTCAATATATATGTTACGTATCTTTAGTTCAGTTAATATATCGCTCGTCCGAAGCTGTAGTTTAAAGCCAAGTGTCATTTATGTAATATTATTTACAGTATTGTTCAAACAGTTAATATATTGCTCATAGTTTGAAGTTAAAAGTCCAAAGCTGAAGTTTAAAGACAGAGTGTTATTTAAATAACATTAATTATATTTACAGGATTGTTGAAACGGTTAATATAAAAAATAAAAAGAATCAATTAATCGTTGGTTCAGGACCCTTTTGGGCTTCGGATATTGTTTTAAAAGTATTGGTTTAGATTAAATTAGAAAGAATTTTTTTTTTTAAACGTTATCATACATCACAGAGTCTGACACCTCTGTAGAACCCTGGTGAGAATGTGGTCACGTCACACCACACGACCAGCAGCAACACCTCTTTTTGTGTGTGTGAAAGGGAACGAGAAATGTCAGCCTGAGAAGCCTTGTGGTTCTTCTTCTCACACTCTGTCTGCAGAGTTTTCTCAAAGCACAATGTATCAAAACGGTTTATTTCATTTCACCCTTTTGTTTTGTTAGATTTCTTTTATTTTGCCTTTTTATTTTTAAAATCTGCGTCACAAGAATCGATTCTTTTGTGAAAACATTCAGCTGTGAGGTGTTTGTTGGAGTTTGAGCATTAAAGTCTAAATTACTTTTGATACCGGGGGATTCGTACAGATTCATAAGAAGGCGGTTTATGTGTTTATCATATTGCACTGGAGTTTATTGAGTGTCACCTCGAGTAGTTACATCATCCTAGCACTGTGTATCACTGAGGTGTATAATTGTATTTCTATTTATCTGTGTGATTGCTATTGTATGTTGTACCATTTATTTATAATAATAATAATATAAATGTACACCGTGTAGAAATGTAGTAAAAATAGTTTTATCTCATTTCTCGCAACCTGCTGTTGCAGATGAGGAACTAAAGAGTTTCTCCAATTCGTCTTATGCAAATAAGGTGGCCTGTGAAATAGTCTTAACTATTTCCTCTTTTGATATTTGTTTTAAACGTTTTGCTAACTTCTCTAAAAAACGTTACACGTCTTAGGCTACAGTTCAGTTGTGATGAAAGAGGCATCCCAGAATGCCCCTCATCAGCATCACCTCACATCTGATATTCATCTGTATTCTCTGCATTTCCACATTTCTCCGCATGTTACTGTTAAGGGTTCGGGAAAGCCCTCGAAGGAGGCCTCACTCCTTTGTTCTCGTCCCGACCGGAAACGATGAATCAAAAGAGTCAACTTGCTCAAATTCAAAATTCAAAAAGTATTTAATAACTAAACAAAGTCATAAGGAATACAGTTACAAAGTGAAATGCAATGCGAACACTGAAATATTTCGCGAAATAGAGAATTCTCCGACCAAGTCTAAAGTGACTTATCAAAGCGGCTGCAGGAAAATTCTAACAGTCCTTTACCCGCTTTGGTCATTTGAACACTCCTGAGGGGTGTCTTCTTGGGTGCATTTGAATGTCATTGACTTCTAATTCAAACGTGTCTCCTCCTGGATTGTCCCTTTCCCATCGAGGTGTGAAGCTGCAGCTGTAGCCGAGAGACCTCCTCTGTCCTATCATTCCCTCACATTCCAATACATTCAATGTAGGTACATTTGGCTGTTTGCCTCAATGAGTGAATTTAACAAAGCATGCACAGTTCATGTGGTCCAATACGCGGCGCAGGGGTTAGAGAGGGTGTGCTGGGAACCACAAGGTTGTTGGTTCAATTCCAGGCTGCCCCATGTTCCATGTTGAAGTGTCCCTGAGCAAGACACCTAATCCCTAATTGCTCCCTGGGCAAAAATGTGAAAAAGCCACGGGTTTAAAGTGTAATGTAAGTCGCTTTGGATAAAAGCGTCTGCTAAATGACCTGTAATGTAACAAGGTAATGACAGGAGAAAAAACTCCCAAAAAAACCCTCTTTGGGAGAAATTTGGGAGAAATCCATAAAGGACGGCAATTAGCATCCGTTTACAGGTTTTAACATCACATTGTGACAGAATGTTAATGTTTACAGTGTTAATATGATTTACATGACTCTGACTTGTGTTTGATTCATATTGCATTCACTTCATCTAACATGCTAATGTAATAACTAATATCTAATAACACACAAACTACAATTCTAACACTAAATAAACCTTACTACATGTATTATAATGTCCACCACTAGGGGTGCACTTCTTGCTTAAATCCCTAACATTTCCCACATTTCAAACTGTCTCTTGATAAGAAGCAGAAGCAATTCTCAGAAGTGGACGTGAGGATGGGACACACTTTGTTTGGTGTGTTGGGGCTTTTCTGTGAGTAAATCATACTTTTCATAGGTAATGTCACGGTGTGGGTTTGTTTCCTGTTTTATTTTGTAGTTTCCTGCCCCTTGTGTCCCTGGGTTAACTTAACTTCCTGCCTTGTCCTGTCACCCCCTGTGATTGTCTGATTGTTTCCACCTGTGTCCAATCACCTGCACCTCCCAGTGTATTTAAGCCCCTCGTGCCTGTGTCCTTTGTCGCGTCATTACTGAATGTTGATTGTTCAACCCTGGCATCAGACAGCGTCAATCCCCGACTGGTCTTGCCTGTGTCTGCTCTCTCGTAGGGGTTCTCTCTTATCGTGAGTTTGACTATAAAAATCCCTTTTGGTTCCAGTCCGCCTTTGAGTTCTGCTTCAGCGTGAACGTGCTTCACGGATTAAGCGAACCCGTTATGAATCAGGAACATTTGCCGGGTTGATGTCCGACTGTCGCGAGGGCCCCCCCCCCCCTCCATGGGGAGAGTGTACTCTGTGCGC